GCCTCGGCGCGGCCTTGATGTTTCTTGATCACTGGCGTGAGCTCCTGGCCTTGTCCTTCAGGATGGCGAGCTTCGTCTCGAGGGCTTGGATCTCTGCGAGGGTGCTCGGGTCGGGCTGTGAGTCCATGATCTTCTCGTCCTTCTCGTGGAGAACCTGGTTGTCGCGCTTCGGCGTGGCCTTGGTGTTCCCTTTCCCGGTGGACCCTGAGTAGCCCTTCGTCTTGGTCACGCTCACTTCCTCCCAGGAGCCCCTTGACGGCGTCGATGTAGGGTGGGTGTTCGCGGGGTAGTCCTGGTCGCTCTCCTCGTCCATGATCTCGGCCGTCGTGCTCAACGCGAGCTGCTGGTTCTGCCACCACTTGGCGTACATTGCGAGCTCCGGTGAACAGTTCCCTTCCGCTCGCGTGATCTCCTCCAAAGCCCACTTCCCGTAGCTGTTCGGGATGTCTCGGAACAGGGATCCCTTCCACCTTCCGATCGTCATCACCATGTCCCCGGTGGTGCTCACTGAGGTCCTGACCAACCTCAGTAGGTTCCCCTTTGTGACCTTGTCCGGCACGTCCACGCCCATCTCCTTCGCCTTCTTCCGGAGGTCCTCGATCTTCATCGAGCTCATCCCCCTCATCTTCTGTGAGGCGGTCTTCTCCTGGTAGGTGTCGACGTGGTCGCGGATCGTCGCCCTGAGCTCTGGCACCGTCCAAGAGTGATGTACTGCGGCTCCCACACGAACCGCCTCGGACAACAGCTGGGCCTTCGTCATGCGGCTTAGCGGTGTCGTCGTGCTCTGGCATCGCCTGGAGTCCATGCCCGCGCTCGGGTGCGAGAGGCGGGGGATCTGGGGCTTGCGACTTGTAGAACACAGTCCTGCCAACCCAAAGCGACGGTTGAGATGGCTGATGGATCTCATCTGGCTCCCACTGATCTACAGTTGCCTCTAGCCAACATCCGCTCCTGCAACAGACTCCCTCTGTGGTACGCACACGACCGATGGATGCAATCAACATGTCTCTGAGCACTGTTGACCCCGTACGCCAGGTTGAAGGATTAAACAATGCCCTCCGCGGAACCATGTGTACCCTCACCCATGTATCTGGAGTCTCTACCCAAAAGTCTCGATCATAGTTGGACTTCTCCCACCAGTTGACAAAGATATCCTGTTGCAAACGATCTTGACTCAACATGTCGCGGGTGCTCGGGTCCAATTTCTTCTCGTAGAAGATTCCAGAATACTTGGGGGTATGTGGGCCATGATGAGCTACAGCAAGAACGGACATGTATTGCTCAGCGGTCTGCAGTCGGAGGTCCTCGATCTGTAAGTCTGACGTTTCGTCAGATGACACACTGACTGGCACGATCGGGATAGCCGGGTGGCCTGACGAGGTGGTGGTAAGCTTGTAGTCGCTGAGGTTGATCGCCTTGAAGTCGGCCTTGCCATTCTGAACATCGTATATCATCCCCAACTTTCCGAGTACTGTTTTACTTAACAGCAGCGGGATGTCTCCGGTGATGATCGATGTACGCAGTTGGACATTGAAGCTCCCCAGCCTGAACGTCACGATGACATAGAAGGAAGAGTAGTAGACCTTCCCCGCCCCAAAACGGTAGGCCTCGCACTCTTTCTGTAGCACCGGCTTCTTTCCGATCTCGGCCAACAGGTTGCTGTAGGATTGCAACCACTGGGTTCCGGCCACCGTCCTCGCGCA